TTGGTCTAGATATAAAACTGAAGAACTAAAAGAAGCTTACATATGAGCTGATTGAACTTTGTTGATTTCAGAACTGGCATATGTATATTTCATGGAATATACCAAGGAATAATCTTCATGGAATAATATATATCACATACCAAGCATATGTGAACAACCAGTTACCACCTCAAATCACAGTTAGCAGAATTTATAAGGCAAGCAGAGGCTGCTAAAGGAAACAATGGTTTTGAATATATTCTTAACACAAACTGCTACATAACTGTCACCATAGTTAAAGGACCATGTTTGCAAGCAATTTTATTGCTTGTTTTTCAGGACAAATACTGAATTATAACTAAAACATGCACACAAAAACATACATGCAAGAAATAAATATTTTTTTGTAATATAAGTCATCATACTCTTTCTGTTGTAAAAAACTGGTAAATGCATCAAGGTGGTTACACTAATATGTAAGCACGGCACGTTTTGCATAGTCGGCCCTTGGCTAAATTTGGCGATTTTTTGGACGCCATTGCGCAAAATTGTTATCCCTGTTCGAGGGAACTCGGAGAGGGGAAACAATTCTGAACTACCCAAACATGCAACATGCAAAAAGCAAGAAATAATAATAGTACAGTCAAAAGTCTTTAATCTGGACTCGTCGGGACTTTGGCGATTCCAGATTATAGATCATCAGTTTAAATATGGCAAGATGGCATGCAGAAATTACAAAATTAAAAATATGAAACTGTAATTTATGAAATAAAGAACAATTATGATCTAAAGGGTATCAAAAGTTACAAAAAGAAAAAGCTTAATATTTATTTGTTTACTTTATTAAACATTTCTTTCATTTGTAAGTTGTTTAAGTTGCTTCGTTTCATGTGATAATACTTTCTCTTTAATTCTATTAAACAGACATAATTTCTTGTTTAGTTACAAAGTTCCGCTGTTCAAGTCCTATAATTGCTGTGTCGAGAATACCGACTAATTTGTCAATCGAAATTTTTTCATTTTCAATAACCTCTGTGACACTTTCTTCACTATCGGAAGCGAATTATAATGACAAGGAACTTGATTTAAACCATATCAAAGACGGAGTACATCGATATGAAATACTACATTTAATAAGGAATTATAAGCCAAATAAAATAAAAACATCTGCCCTGAAGATAAGGATAGTGCTGACAGATCAACTTCCAATTCATTGCATGCCGCGGTGCTGCATATGCACTGTAAGTTTGTTCCTTATTAAAGCACACAGAGCATTATAATATTTAATAGTTACATGTTACAAATTTGGCAATTCTATCAGCTTATTTTGTTATGGTGGCCACTTTTATATACAAGTATCACCTGTATATATTCTAATATATTTTAGGAGCATTAAGCTTAAATAAAAAGTTGCATTTTACCGCTCTGGTCCTTCGTCCCTACATAAAATTAGCCATTGAGGTAAGAAACGTCATGCAGGTATTTTATTTTACAAAAGGTAGAATAAATATAACAGAGCTTTATTTTTCATTTGCGATTAATTCTTGATAATGATTTGCGAAAATATGAACTAATTATGATTTGCAATTTTTTTTTGTCATGCAGCTATCTTATTTTACAAAAGGTAGAAATAAATAGACTAGGAAAGGTAGAATAAATAGAATAGAACTTAATTTTTTCAATTGAAATGAACTCCGGATAACGATTTGTGAAACAAACTAATTATGACTTGCGATTTTCCAACTTTTATTTTGTCTTACCATAATGTTCTGTAAATCTATGTAAACAGAAAATATCTCTTTTAGTTCTTCAGGAAAATTCCCTGTGTGAGTTGCAGGATTGCAACGCTTGTCAGGGTTACCATAATCTGGCGCACATGCACTCTTTTCTGATATGTCAACAAATCGCCAAGAGCCGGTTATCCAAAAACTGCCATAAGCACTATCAATATTTGCTAGAAACAGATCCGCTCTATTCAGAAGCACTATCAAAATGTTATCAGCTATCTACTTAACTGAAATGGTTATTTTTTCCCTTAAGATCTTTGTAATATATTATCATTCTTCAAGTATTGTCTCTAGGGCAGAATTGCAGTTTCAGCTACCATAAAAACGACAATCTTTTAAGATATGACAGCTTTTCTGAGGAAAAATAAAATGTAAACAGAAGTCTGTTTTCACTAAAAAACTTAAGAAAAATTAAAAAACTCAACATCATGTACAAGCTTGACACGGTGCACTGGCCGCAATCTTGATCATGATTGTTCAAGAATTGTAGAAACACATCAATGAAACACTTCAATGCAATGAAAATTGAAAATCACAAACTCCACAGTACCATTACACTTTGTTATGACAAAAGCAATCATACTGAACACAAAATGAATCAGAAAAATGATCATTGAATTTCAAAAGTGCATACCTGGGTCACCACATAAATATTTTTTGGCAACACAGAGCACTGCCTCAGTAATACTTTTTTTGCAGATAAGTATAAATAAATACAAATAGAAAAAACATTAGTTTTGTTTTAACTTTTTTTTTTATTATATTTAAAAACAATAAAAGTTTGCAATTGGGTAACCCTTGTTTTTTGGTGATTCTTTTTTGACGGCAAGATCAGCGCCAGGAAGGCATCATTTCAAGATGGCCGCTACACAAAAACAAAACAAGAAGTCAAAGAATTGCACTAACTCTGTGTCCATGCATCACAGAATTGCACAAACTAGGCACTGCCTTAAATTTGCCCATGTACACATCAATCTATTTTTATTTTTTAAAAATATCAGGAAGCTAAAACAAAGTTAAAACTATCATGGTAACCAGAAATGAGGTTTCATCACTAAAATTTAGCAAAATTTGTCGTTAATCGAAGGGGCACTAAATTCTACACTAGAGCCTTAAAAACTAATAGTATTTGTTTTACAATTGCACACAGCTTTTATCAAAATAGTTTTGAATACAGGTGAATATACATAATTTTCCAGTCTTGATTTCTAACAGCTAACTAACATCAAAAGAGGAAAAAAATACATGGTAAACATGGTAATTTGAATATTGGCTGATCTCTGAAACTTCATTCTAGCATTCAATATCTTTTTTTTTTTTTTTTCCTTTTTACACTTCTGTGCAACAGTCAAATTGCTATACTTTATAATAAAATTCAAAGAAATTCCTGACTGCATTTGATATCACTCATTCCATAAATTTTGGTCAGATTCATTGCATGAAAAACATTTAAATATGTTGTAATACTTTTCCTTTAAAGCCATATCACATGGGTGCTTTTTTTTTTTTTTTTTTTTTTTTTTCCATATTTTCTCAGGACAAGCACACATTTTTCATCTAAACAGTTAATTATTCTTTTTAACACCGCAATGCATTTAGTAACTTAAGCTTTAATCAGAGATGAACATGCTGCTATCTTTTTTATCCTAGAAAGAGTTATTCTTCACAGAAAAAGATTGTGTTCAAATAACTATCTCAGTAAATAAAAATGACGAAGCTGAAATGCAATGCAGCCTTCCTTCCTGCTGGGAAGAAGGTGTCCAAACACAAACATGTTTTGTTGGATTATGCATTCCTTTCATTACTACGGATTCATTTACTTATGCTGTAAACATCTATTTAGTTTTGTGAAAAAAAATCTTGCTTCAAATGTATCACAACATAAGTTACCCAAACAGTAAACGAGTAGTGACATTGATTACTGTACCAACGAACCTGGACTCGGATCCCAGGAAAAGCATGGATGCTTGTTAGTGTATACTGTCTGTGCAGCAAGGGGAGATTCAAAATATATAGTGAGCCTAAAGTAATTTTGAGCTGTTGGTGGCAGGTAAAGAGAGATGGGAGATTCCTGTACCACTCCAGGGATGTTCTCTCTCAAAACTGTACTGAAATTGCTCAGTTAGTATGGTGGAGCAATACCTGTACAAGCTATGGTAAAATTATGGTGTCTTGTCAACTTACACCTGTACTTATATCACAAGATTTAATTAAAATAATTACATCAATGCTAGTTCCTTTTTATCTTGTATTAACGCTAAAATCGATGGAAGCTATGGAGAAAAATTACGGAAAACGGGGATACTCAGGTAACCGACACTTAATTACACTTGTAATTAGAAAAAGGTAATTTTATTTTTATACGAGAAAATTACAAAATATGCTCCTTTTCTGTACTTATGGCTCACATTATCCCATGTTACATATAATTAATTTCTAAATAAATTAATTTAAAATTGGTAAAAGTTTACAATTGGTAGCCCCTTGTTTATTGGTGATTCTTTTTTGAGGCCAAGATCGGCGCCAGATAGGCACAATTTCAAGATGGCTGCTGCACAAAACCAAAATAAGAAGTCAAAGAATTGCACATCTGTGTCCATGTACACATCGATCTGTTTTTACTTAAAAAAACATCCTAGAATTGCACAAACTAGGCATTACGCACTGCCACAAATATGTCCATGTACACATGAATCTATTTTCATTTAAATAAAATCCGGAATCTAAAACAAAGCTAAAACTATCGTGGTAATAAAAAGTGAGATTTTATCGCCAAAATCTTAAAACAATTGTCGCCAATCGAAGGGGCACCCAATTCTACACTAGAGCCTTAAAATTTTTAATTATAGATTTAAATAAATTAATTACACTTCTAATCAGAAATAAATGATTTTATTTTTATAGAATAAAATATGCTCTTTTTCTAACTTATTGCTTGTATGTCCTGGAATTTTTTAATTATCTATTTAATACTTAAATATATGGGAGTCTGGCCTTAACAAACAGGAATCTAAATAAATTAATTATACTTCTAATACGAATATATATATATACAATAATAATATCTAATACGAATATATAAATTACAGGGCTATGAAGATATCGAAACTTAATTTTAAAAAAAACTGTGCAGATAAACTTGTATAATTTAAGCTCAATGAAAATTTCAAGTTACTAAATTATCAACAATTAAAATTTAAAGAATATAGATAAAAACAAAAACAAAAAACTTACTGCTTCAAGAGCTCTAAAATGTTCCTTTGAAAGGTACCGAAAACGACTTACATCTAATTTCACCATTTTAAGGAAATGTAAGTTACAGTGATTAAAATATTCAAGTTTTGGATCAAAACATTGAAGCACCCCTCCGAAGGAATTCGTTGTTGACAGGTTATCTTCACGAGAAAAAAGGGGGAAAAAATGGGAGGAGTTACGAGATTCTCTGGGTTGCATGAAGATCTACTAATACTTTTCTCGCCAAGTAATTTGGCGTCATCGGCTCATTATTATTTCTGGAACTGTGCTTGAAGAGTGGTCGTCTTTTTGATCCGTAAGTATGCTAAAAAATTCTCCCATAAATTTTTAATATTTTTAATACGTTTTTCCAAATTTACACATTTTGCTTGGAAGCACTTTCGCAGAGAACCCGGTAAATGTAAACATCGTCAACTTTGGCGATAATAGTTCAAACCTGGTAACCTAGCTAATTCATCCTATTTGCTTGTGCGAAGGTTGTCGTTGTTCGCATTTGGAGATTTATATTATTTTCTGTTATTTTTCTGAATTTTTTAACAACGAATAGATAGAAATATATTCGCATAATTAAAGAAGTTATCGTCGAAAGATGGCGGGTCTCGGCTCGTTATTTTGGGATCAAAGGAAAAAAATATGGCGGGAGGGGTGAATGCTAATTTGTAACATGGCTGTTCGCGTTATGTTCTTAATTATTAACAGCTGTAAGCACGCAGAACCATGAGGTTTCCAACCCCTATAATATTTTAAAATGTATAAAGTTCTAGTTTATTAACAATGTTACTGAAGAAAATTTGATTACTGTTGAAGGTTATTTGTATTGTGAAATATATTATGAAAAAGGACAGGTATTTGTTTCAACGTAAATGCTTTAAGCTGTACGCAAGCAATAACTGAAAACTATGCAAAAACTGGAAACTGGAAAAAAAAAAAAAAAATCTGAAATGTTTTAGATTTTAAATTACGTCCAAAGGGGCGTTTTTTAACATTTTGTGTGTTTCCTTTCTTTATTAAATATCATGTTCCTCGCACTTAAACCATAAGATCCAGTGCAACAGCAATATCGCAAAATAGTTTTAAAACGAGCATATCTTTAGAATTTCCGATACAGACTCACGCGCTGGAGATAAAAATATTTTTTCTGTTTACAACGTTGCCATTGCTCGCTTTGAAATCCTTGAGTTTGTTAATCAAAAATTCGTCAAAGTTTTAAAAAATAGGAAATCGATCATAAAACAAATTTCAAATTTGGTTTTCCACATGCTCATATTCATTGGAGGATTACGTTATTCAAAATTCGATGACTCTATGTACTGTTATTTTATGACAATGTGAGAAATATACATACATTTACGCAGATTTTCATTATTTAATTTCTTCAAATATAATGCAGGACTGTATGGCAACAGTTTGAAAAGTGAACCCAAGGAGGCGCTCTTTTATTTCAACCCGGGGATTCCATGAAATCGCTCGCAGCATATGGGGATTCCCCGAAATATTATGCAGCGATAGGTTTCAAATACATATCGGAAAGAGTGTACTTGTATTTCTTGTTTGGTGCGGTATTGTACAGACATATTTTGAAGGGGTAAATGTGGAAGATATTGAAGAAATAATTCAAGAAGCAGCGGCTAGTCTTTCTAATGATGAGCTCAAGGAATTAACTGAACAAGAAGAAAACAAAAATGTTGACAGCAGTGATTCAGAAGAAGAGCAAAAAGAAACTTTCGATGGCGTTTGTAAAAAGGAGTTTGTCTATCATAACTGAAATAAATGGATCAATTCATTTAAAATGATCCGAATTTTGACAGGAGCTCAAAAGTAAGGCGTGGGTGTGGTGTTAGAGATGTTCTATCCGTTTATGAAGAACTTTTTAAGAGAACAAACGCAAAAGAAAAAGACAAACAACATTAGATGCTTTTGTCACAAAAAGGCAGAACACGGAAAAAAACGCGGAAGGCTAACTAAATATGACTGACTTAGAATTTATTGTTTTTAAATATCGTTGTATTAATTGTTTTTTTTGCAAAAAATAAGTGTATTATTTGGTTTAGAATAATAAAAAAAAATACTTTTAATTAAAGCATTTGAGCAATATTACAGTAAGAAGACTGTCGTCGTTCTATTTGGGAGATGAGTCCGTTATTTTATTAATTTATTTTTTTTTTTATTGACTCTTTCTTCAAAGTATTCGAATACTTATATGAGTTCATTTTCAAAACATTTTGAATATCTTTTTTAACCAAAAACGCTTAGACTTTTTTTTTTTTTTTTTTTTTTTCAAAATAATGAACAATAGTACATGTGAAAGAAAAGTCATTTTACTGATTATTATTAACTGATATTTGGAAATAAAATCAAAGAATGCAAGTGTTACAAAATTAATTTCATAGGTTTTATAATTTCATGAGTTAAAACTGATATTTTAAATTTAAAAATACAAAAACATGAATATTTGTCTTATTCAAAACATGTTTGTAAGTGCAAGTATATATGTCTAAATGGCTGGCAGTTACATAAGGCATAAGAACTTTTAAAGACATACGATATGTTAGACTTCATATCTTAAAATAATTTACATTAATGTCATAGTAGAAAGACAATTTGACTGCACTATATGTGATTTCTTTAGGGTAATTAAAGAAAATTACACCACATGTGCTCTTTCCCACCTTTCCATCTTATTTTGCAAATAAATTGAGCAGAACGTAATTTTTTTGGCCATATGAAGTGGCACTTGTAGTAGTTCATTCAGGAGAAGGAAAATCTCGTAGAAGATTGAAGGGGGAAAATTGATCGCAATCAGGCATACTGGTGGTCCTGGTACGTACGATGAGACAACAGTTCAGTGATTCTTAACACAAGTTGATTTTTATGTTATAATGTAACCTGCTCTGTAAACAAGATTTTTCTGGAGCACAAAATAAATATAAAAGCCCAGAAGGGCTATTAAGTTTCAGAAGTATGTTTTTCATTCAACCTTAGCCATTTGGTTAGGTGAATGGATCAACAGATTATCATGGAGAGAGAGAGGAGGCTTTCAGAAGGACCGAGCAATGGTGTTTAAATCATACCATAGAATTACATCCATCTAATCTTATGCTTATTATGCAAAAACTAGAGGAAGAATATTACTCACTTAGAGATGTTCCCAATCAGTCCGAGGAATAATTAGCTTATCTTAATGATCTCAAAAATCAAATCGCAGCACTAAGCCAGTACGTTATTGAACTCAAACTGAGGATGAACCCACTAATTACTCCCAGCTACTATGGAAACTCAATAATAAATCTACCGAATCTACTAACGCTAAAATTAAGCGTAAGAAAAACATAACGGATAAAGAAGGTTTTACTACACCTCGCATAACACATAAACGCACTCTTTCAAACGCAGAGGTTAATGAGCCAGCACAGAAAAACAAATTCCAGGAATTAAATCTCGAAGACAATATGGATTCTACTAACGAGCAGGGTGATTTTATATCCCCCTCCCACTGTCCTAGCCGACTTTGCAGGCGACTGGGACAAATTAAAAGATGCTATTGAAGAAAAGTTACAAATCAAAAAATTCCGCGGAAATTTATCCGGTGGAACTCTTACCATCAGAGTTTACGACTCTGAACATTACAGAATGCTCACTGATTTTTTAGATAAACTTGAACTCCCCTACCATACTTTTAAAATGAACATCGAGAAAGCTATAATAAACTGCCAAAGACTGCTAATATTGAACGTATCAAATCTGAAATAAAAGAAATGGAAATACCCATCCAAAAAAAACCGTCAAATCACTCATGTTATTGAGGGGAAAATTATCCATTTACCTGTATACTTAGCTGAATGCACCCGCAATAAAGAAGGTAAAGCTATATATGACATAAAGAAATTAAGAGGACTCGACGTGTTCGTGGAAACCTTACAAATCTCGCCCTGGCCCCATGCAATGCCATAAGTGCCAGCGGTACGGGCATACACGGGATCGCCGCAAATACAAAGCATGCTGTTTAAAATGTGCAAAACCTCACGAGACCTATACTTGCTCCCAAACAAAAAATGATAAAGATAAACCTCCAGTCTGTGCCCTCTGCGGAGCAGATCACATTTCTTCTTTTAAAGGTTGCCCTAAGCACCCATTTAATATACAGAAACAGATTGAAGAAATTAAAGCCAAAATAGAAGCGACGAAGAATCAATTCCATTACGACAAAAAAACGAATTCCCGTAGGCGCTCAAAAAATCCGAAGAGAGATCTTCCATTAAAGGTTAGAGGTTATCTTGTCCTTTGAAGGCAAAAGATTCTAATCTTAATCTTAATTTCTTCAATGCTAACGGTATAAGAAAATCAACTAAACGTAAAGGACAAAAACATGACATTGATGTCATGTTAGTCAATGAAACACATCTTCGAGCTTGTGACAGATTCAGAATTCATGGCTATCAGAGAGGATAGACCCCACAACAGAGGAGGCGAAAATGCTATCATAATTAAAAGCCATAATAAAGCCACTAAATTATCAACAACGTAAAGCCAAGGCTTTGATAATATCTCAAATGAAGGGCTACAAGCACTGCCTAACAGATGTATAGTACTTATCACCAATATTTTCAACGCATGCATTCGTCACTGCTATTTTCCCTCTCAGTGGAAGCATTCAATAATTATTAACATCTTGAAACCTGGAAAAGACCTTAAATATGCCAAAAATTATAGACCCATCAGCCTGTTACCGGCTCTCTGCAAAGTTTTTGAACGTGTCATCAGTACAAGACTTACCAAATTGGCATTGATAGGAACCAATTTGGTTTCCGAAAGGGACACTGTACTACTCATCAGATACTCCACCTGGTAGAATTTATCGCCCAAGAATTTAGAAAAAAGAATGGAGTAGCAGCATGCTTTCTCGATTTTGAGAAGGCATTTGACCGAGTCTGGCATGCTTGGCTTACTCCACAAATTGTCAAATTTCCTTCTGCCTAATAGCTTCATTAAACTTACCTACTCTTATCTCTACTGTCGCACGTTTCAAGTAAAGATGTGGAGAAATTCTCTCATCAAGAAAGAGATTTTCCGAGGCGTCCCTCAAGGGTCTGTTTTAGGACCGAAATATTTTAATATTTTTATAAATGACATGCCTGTCCCACTACACTCAAGTATTT